AGAGAGAGAGAGAGAGAGGCAGAGAGAGAGAGAGGTCGTGATTAATGCGCATGATTAAACGATTTACGTTAAACATATAGACATTGGACAATCACAATTCGGCAACCAAGACACAATTCGGTGACATAGTTGACGCCACCGAAAAAGGTAAGCCTTACTCGCAAACTGAAGCACGCGAGGGGTGATTCTAGCGTGTCGAAATACTCAGGTTGGCCTTTGGCCGAATAAAATGGAACGTCTTGGCGTCATAATAAATTGGAGCAGTCTAGTTTCGCACTGCGGAAAATTAAACATAATTCGACGATATTGGAAATGAGAAGGAGATGGATGGGCCATCGCTTCCAGCACGATCATAGGTCCGACAATTCTTTGCATTATAACGTGGGTCGTTTGTTTCAATTCGCGGTTCATGTTTTCCCGTGAGTTATGCTTGTGCGAAAACATTTTCCCAAATAACACGCTTCTCCCGGGAATTCGGATTATAATATTGTAGTTTACTTTATGTGTCGATACAATATCGTAACGTATACAGGGCAAAGTGCATTGTAAACGAATATTGCTCATTGATTGTTATTTCGCGTGGAAAGTTTATATTGCAACAATAATATGCAATTATAAAAAGTAAAAATGTGCCGTGAAAAATTGCTTTCAATTATTTTTAATTTGCCCGCTCTTTTATATTTTGCAGTTAAATAATTAATGATAATTATGATGAACAATAATTATGAATAACAAAGAAATTAACTGCAAAATTTTCAGATTTATTTTTATAGCATGAATAATTCGAACGAATTTAATATTCATTCTCATAATCGACTTTATTATAGCGAAGCGATAAACATTGTGTTTAATATATACATTAATGTGTAACATGTATAATATGTTCCGAAGTATTCTACGCCATAATGAAATTTCGGGATACTCTTGCTATATTGTCAAATTAACCGAGCCATAAATGAGAAATAAAAAAGCGCGTGTACAAATTCGTAATATTGGTCAAGACTCAACCCGGCAAAGTGCAATTGATTCGACAAAAGTGCGCGTTTAAATATAGGATATCATTTCAATTTAATCGTGTCTTCCAGAAATAATGGTTTATTTATTTATGAACTTTGACGTGAATGTGGATTAGAATTAGTTATTCTCTATCGAGCATTTTGAAATATTGATATAATTTTTAGTCATTTTTCACGAAACTACTGATTTTGATAATGAATATGATCCAGTGTGAAAAGTATTCTAAAGATATTAAAGGTATGTTCAGAGGGAGGGAGGGAGTATATATGATAACACACAACGGTCTTTTTGAATAAATTATTGTAACGAATATAATGACAAAAAAGATACGTCATTTACGTATTTTATTTTATATTAACGTAAATATTCGTGGAATAAAATGAATTAACGACGCGTGAAAAATTATATCCAGCCCGTCCAGGCAAACTTCCCGTGTTTTTGGGGATCAAATGGATCTTTTCCATATAATGCTGGGCACAGTGACCCAGAAGCGTCCGTGA